TGTGTGTGTGTGTGTGTGTGTGTGTGTGTGTGTGTGTGTGCGCGTGCGCGCGCGCCAGTATCTGAGAGAAGCTGCATTCTTACTCTTCAAGGGAAATCTGTCCTGCTCTGTCTCACCCCACCGCCTTCTCCACATACTGTGTCTCTCTGTGAACTCTCTCTCTTTAGACATGAGGTACAGGGGCAGGTGAACTCCCTGACTTTAGCACTCCCCTCTTCCCTAATTTCCTTCTCTTCTCACTGCTCTGCACACTTAGCAAAAGAATCCTGAGAGCAGCTCTGCTGCAGGATGGGGCAAGGTGGGGAGAGGGGCAGCTGACCACATGCTGCCAGCTGTAACTATGCACCTCTGGCTGAAGAGAAATGCTTGGTGGGCTGGATCCAGCCCCCAGGCCTGAATTTGCCCACCCCTGGTCTAGTGGGTTATAGCAAGGAGCAGATCCATCTGGGTACTATATAAGAACATCAGACTGCAGACTAATGGTCCCTCTGGCCCAGTATTCTGACAGTGGCCAATGCCAGGTGCTTGAGAAGGAATGAACGGAAGAGGCGACCCTCAAATGATCTATCCCCTGTTGCCCATTCCCAATTTCTGGCAGACAGGCTAGGGAAACCATCTGTGCCCATCCTCCCTGAACCTATTTCATTCGTACTGGAATCCTGTTATAGTGTGGGCCTTTCCACTATTCCCTGGCAAAGAGTTCCACAGGTCGACTGTGAAAAAATAATTTTTGTGTGTGTTTTAAATCTGCTGCCTATAAATTTCATTGGGTGACCTTCTTGTGTTATGTTAGTGAAGGAATAAATAACATTTCCTGATTCTATTTTTCCACACCATTTATGATTTTCTAGACTTCTAATATATCCCCCAACCTTTAGTCATTTCTTTTCCAACCTGAAAAGTCCCAGTCTTTTTAATTTCTTCTCATATGGAAGCAGTTCCTTAAACTAATAATGTCTGTTGCCCTTCTCTGGACCTTTTTCAAATCCATAGATCTCTCTTTAGATAGGGCAACCAGGTATGCATGCAATATTCAAGATGTGGGTCTACCATGACTTTATATAGAAGTAATACGATTTTTTTTCTGTCTCATCTATTCCTTTCCTAATCATTCCCAATATTGTGTTTAGATTTTTAAATTCGTTTTTTCCACTTCGGTTCCTCTGAAGAAGTGGGTTGTGCCTGCAAAAGCTCATGATGCTATATACATTTTTGTTGGTCTCTAAAGGTATGTCTATACTACAGGATAAGGTCGAATTAGATACACAACTTCAGCTGTGTTAATTGCATAGCTAAAGTCAAAGTACCTTCATTCGACTTTTGGTGCTGTCCACACTGCAGGAAGTCGAAGGGAGAACACTCTCCCTTCAACTGCCCTTACTCCTTATGGGAAGCAGGACTACTAACATTGATAGGAGTGCCCCTTTCAGTTCAAATAGCGGTCTTAACTAGACCCACTAATTCGAACCCTGGAAGATTGATAGCGGCAGCTTCGATTGTTATCTGTAATGTAGGCTTACCATAAGGTACCACAGGACTTCTTGTTTTTTGTGTGCCACTGCACGTTGAGCAGATGTTTTCAGGGAACTATCCACAATGAGCCCAAGATCTTTCTTGAGTGGTAATGGCTAATTTAGACTCCCCTCCCCCTCTGTCTTCTGTGTGGAATGTGATGGCTGGCAGAAGGGGTAGCTTGTGCGGGTTGACTATGCCACGGAGGTGTTGCCCTCCACCAGGGGAGTTCTCCTCTGGCTGCAAGGCTCCCTGGTCTTCAGTTCCCACCATTATCCTTGTGCCTCTCCCATGTAAGTGTCACATTTGCTACCCTTGTAGTGTTCAGGTTGTAGCTGATTTTAATGCAAATTTTTAACCGCTCAGTCATTTCATTGTCAAGCACCTGCAGAAAACTCCTGGGTGAATGCCATCAGAGCCCGGGGGGACTCCCTGATCTGAAATGTATCTATTTGTTCCAGCACTCCCCCTCTTTGGGCACTTCAGTCTCTGACAGTATTTCATCTTCATTGCCTTGAGGGCCTGAAAGGCCTGCTGGGGGGCATAGAAGAGATGGTTTTGGGACAAGAGGATGGGTGAAAATGGGTAGGAGGTCTGGGAAAGAGACCACTCTTAGGATCAAAGGGAGAGTGGGAGAGAGAGTGGAACTGGGTCCTGGGAGGAAGAAGAGGTGGAGACGAGCCGCTGATGGGGGGCCAGAAGGAAAGGGAGAGAGGAACCCGTTGTGACTCTGGGGCCCAGAGAAGATTCTGGGTGAATTTGTTCAGCATGTGACCCTGATGGCGGGTGTCAAGGTAGCAGGTTGTTGGGGTGTCTGTCAGGGGCCTGGAATGCTTGCCACTCCCTAATATCTTCTGTATTCCTTTCACTTTCCAGGGGGGACACTTTGGTCCCATCTCCAATCTCAGCCTCGTTTACAGCAAGCTTCCTCCGATGGCCTAAGGAGCCTAAACTCAAAGCCCAACTCAACTCTGGCAGGTCCTGGTGAGGAGCAGAGAGGAGGGAGCCATTTGGGCGCTAGATCCCGGTCCAGCCAGAGCTCCAGATTCTACCCAGAGAATGGCACTGACCTCCCAACCTCTGTGAATCCCCACCCATCAGAAATTGCTGACCAATCATCCTCTCCAGAGCACACAGATGCTAGACCAGGGATAGGCTGCAGATTCCATACTGGACTCATCAATGGCCTGAGGGAAGTTACTGGGGGGAAGGATTTAAGTGCAACGCATACTATGTTTGGTGTTCCCGATTCTGTCTTTTTGGCAATGGCCAAGGGACACAGCCATCTGACCAACCAGTGCTTGAGCTTCCAGTCATGTGACTTGTTAACCAACAGTGATGGTGTCAGCAGCGTATCAAAGAGGGAAACTTCTCAGCAGGACCTAAGGCTACAGGCTGGTGAAAGGCTGCTCCAGTCTCCTTCAGCAGCCTCGAAGACTATGGGAGGAGGCTGCTTGGTGAAGGTGGAACCTCAGGTTTACCAGGTATCTGCTGCTCCCAGGGCTAGGCACACACAGCCTGCATTGGCTCCCCCAGGACAAAGGCAACTGCACTCTGGCAACACCTTGCACAGCTCCAGGAAGTCCTACTGGTGTGACTCTGGGGGACAGGAGTCCTTGAGGAGTATCTCAAGGGTCCGAGAAGGAGCAGGCCATGGTCAATATAGAGAGCGTGCAACTGCGGGACAGCGTGGGCCTCCAGCCCATCAGACTTTCCAAGGGGATGGCCAGAGGTCCTGGCATGTGAATGAGGAACTCATTCAGCTGTGGGGAGCTGAAATGCTCTTGGCTCTGGAGGGACTCCATCAACAGGGGGTGCTGTGCCGGGACCTTAACCCCAGAAACCTGCTGCTAGATGGTGCTGGTAGGTGCTGCTTGAGATTTTATCTCCTCAGCTAAGGGGCCTGTGGCATCTGATCCCCCTCACTCCATCTTTGTTTGTTTTGTGAAGTCTGAGCATCTCCAGACCCTACCACTGAGCTCCAGGCTCTAGCAAACAGCTGCAGTCTGCTGTGTATCAGGGATGTTCAATACAGTAAAACTGTGTTATCTGGCATGCTCAGGGATTAGGGCGTTCCCATTATCTGAGGATCCCATCAACCTAGGAAAACCAATGGACAATAATAGTAAAACTCAGGTTTTTAATATTGGTAGTTTTGTAGTGTGAGGCAGTTGGTCTCACATTTCTATTTTGAGTTAAAGATGATAGTACTTCTTAATTTTTTATTTAAGCCAATCATGGTAAATCAAGCCATGCCTGTGTGCCTGAAAATGTGACATTATTGTGGCTGGGGGCAATGTCGGTTAACAGAGTGCCAGATAACAGAGGTTTCACTGTATTGGTTAATTGAATAGTTGATTAACCTCATGAATTCTTATCTGTTACACAACTATTCTGTAGTCCTTGGGGGTGGGGCCAGCAGCCAGTGCGCTATGGCCTCACTCCCGGGGAGCCCCCTGCCACTTCACGCTTCTGCCTCTGTATCAGAGGCAGCAGTGTATGGTGCCAGGCAGGAGCTGGTTTGCAAGAGGAGCAGTGCGAGTGGCAGCAGACCCCGTCCAGAGGCAGCAGAGCCTAAGCTTTTGAACCTGGCATGAGCCAGAACTGAACCAGACTGCCTGCCCACCTGGCTCCTAATGCACTTTAAATGCAGAACTGCAGCGGAGACTGAGCCAGGCTGCTGGCCAGCCTGCTAAAAAATTTACTAGCAAGTGGAAGGAGAAATGCATATCGTCTATAGCATTAACCTCTAAGCTTCTGCTTATCAGTTAATTGACTATACTATTACATCCCTAGTGTGTATGAGCCTGTAGACCAGCATGAACTCCAGTGGAGGCAGAACAAGGCTGCTCAGCAATGTTAGCTACATGGAACACATTATTCCTGTTCTCTGGGGAGTCCTGGCTACTTGGGAGAACCCTGTGACCCCCACAGGGGAAGATGAGATCAGCTGGGGACAGTCAGGCTAATAGTCCCCAGAGTTAATGGTGCAGAGGCCTTTGATTCTGCAAGTCAATCCTCCCACCTTAGGCCTGGCAGCCTGAGTTCATTGCTCCTCAGAGAGCACTGCAGTGTGAGTGTGAGTGAAAGAGAATGTGGGACAACTTTAGCAACCTACAAAATAAACAGTGAATCCTTGCAGGGCTCCTTTAAATGAGGAGCTGGGAAAAACAACATCTGCCCCAGGCCTCTCCTCCTCTCCTTGCTCCAGCTACCCTTGCTTGGTTCTAGTCTTATCCAGCCCTTCCATTAGCTGTCACTGTCACTCCCTCTGCTCCTTCCCCAGGGGAGTCCAGCCCCACTATGAATGTGGGAAGTTGCATGTTCTGGGGCCTGGTGCTCTGTGGTGTTCTGAACAGTGAATACATCAGAGCCCAACCGTGTTGCAGGGTACAGGGGAGATGCCAGTGGAACAGAGTCAGGGCTTGTGGCATATGCTACAGTTATTGGGTGTCTGGTCCTGCCCTGCCCTTGACTGTACTTTTTCACAGGTCACATCCGTCTCACCTTCTTTGGCCAGTGGACAGAGGTGGAGCCGCAGTGCTGCAGTCAGGCCCTGGAAGATATGTATAGCGCCCCAGGTAAGGGGACTGTCTACTTCTCTCTTCTCCCCTCCCCCCCCATATGTGGGGCAATGGTGCCTCCTTGAAATGCAATGAGAGATTTATAGCTGCCCTGCAGCATCTCCCCCTCTGCCTGATCTCTTTCAAGGGCAGCAGCCACCAGCACCCATGGGATCCTAATGCTTAGTTGCCTTTCAGCATCTCCCTCCTATTTTCTCTTCAACTCATTTGGCTTCCTCTGCAGAAGTGGGTGGGATTGCTGAGCTGACCGAGGCCTGTGACTGGTGGAGCTTTGGGTCTCTGCTGTACGAGTTACTAACTGGAACGGTGAGTGGTTTCTCTGTCCTCATCCCATGTTACAGGGAGGGGGCAGCACAGTAACAATCCTAATGTTGGTGCCCCAGTGCATATGTGGGGCTCGGTGGAGTCTGCATTCTGGAGCTAGTGTTCTGGGGCACAGATCAGGCTCTAGGCCGAGCTGTTGCTGGGCATGTGACTCCTACTACCTGAGCCTTGGTATCTGGATGCTGCTCTCCTGTTGAGAGCCAGAAGCTGATGATCTACTGAGTTCTGGGAGATGGGCACTGAGGGGCTGAGTCTGTCACCCCTCTGCAGTTTGGGGAGGGGCAGTGGCAGATGAGGTGTGAGGGGGACATTCCTATTTCTGAACAGTGCCACCTACATGGGATCTCCTCATTGTCTGTCTCTCACAGTCGCTGTCCCAGAGCCACCCCTCAGGGATTCAACCTCACACCCAGCTCCACCTTCCAGAGGAGCTCAGCCTGCCTGCCGCATCCCTGCTCACTGAGGTGAGGACACCCTGCTGGTGTGGGCAGGGGGCCACGGCTCTGGAGTAGGCATAAGGGAGCTTCAGCTGCAGCCTGAAGATGTCCCTTCCCCTTCTGGGGTGGGACAGGTCCTCATTGGGGTTGTGCTGCCACTTCCCATCTCATCCGTGTCTATTTCCTTCTAGCTGCTGCAGTTTGACCCCAAGCGGCGCTTGGGCTTTGGAGGAGGCGGGGTCAACAAACTGAAGAGCCACCCCTTCTTCAGTCCTGTCCATTGGAACAAGCTGGTTGGATAGACAGATGCATGCAGAGCAGTGAGGAGTGAAGGACAGTGTTATGGTGCTAGGCTGAGGGCCTGCAGGGTAGGGTCCAGGGAGAGAGCCAGATCCTGCCATGGAGGCAGATTATCCTAGTAGATCACTGGGACCTGTGATCCTAGGTGGTATTTTCATCTCTGGGGGAGGTCCACTTCTGCACAGGCTGGTTGTGTAGGTCTGTGGGGGAGGGGGGAGGAGAGAGGGGAGAGGTCTAAGTTGCAGCCTTGGGTTCTTCCTCCTGAGCTAACTTACATTTGTGTTGCAGTAACATTTCCAAGAGATCAGGCCAGGATGGAGTCCCTGGTCCTCCTGAGGTACTGCTCCCCACTTCCCTAAGGTCCTCCCACTTTTACCCTATATCTAACCCACCTACGTATGTCACTGACCCCAACAGGTGTAAAGGTGGCAGTGCCAAGGGACCAAACTCAGTCCCCTGGGCATAGTGCCTTTGCTGTCCCATGGATTCCGTGGGCAGTCTTGCCCCCAGCTCTATGCTGTCCTTGCCTGGTGCTTTCCTGGAGACCCAATTTCCATAACTATGAATGAGACTATCCCACTCACCCAGGGGCCTAGTGGGGCAGTAGCTTCCTCTGTAGACTTAGCCCAACAGGGCTGCCCCACTGGTGGGTTCTTTGGCAAGAACGACTGTTCTTTCACAGAGCGTCCACGCTGCCTGCCCTCGCTTGCGCAAGATTTACAGTGCAGCGTGGTAAGAGAGGGCTTCTTGCGCAAGAGCGATGCTCTTTTCTAACAAGTGTAAGCTCTCTTGTGCAAGAGGGCAGTGTGGAAGCGTGGCAGGGGATTCTTGCACTAGTAATCCCTATGGCTAAAATGGCCATAGGAGTTTTCTTGCGCAAGAGAGTGTCCACACTGCCATGGATGCTCTTGCGTAAAAACACATGGCCGCGTGGATGTGTTCTTGCACAATAACCCACCAGTGTGGGCAGAGCCTTGGTGTCTGGCCCTTTCTCTGCTCATGGACTCCACTAGTTCCTTGGTTCTGCCTGAGGTTCTCAACATAGGATCCCCTATTTCAGTTTCTCTCTGCTGCTGCCTGAGCCCATTATGGCTTACTGATGCATTCCCAATGGCTACCACTAGATGGTGTCTGGCATTGTGCGTCTCATCTGCTGCATGTGCACTAGCAGCACTGGCCCATGGTGTTCTGTGACAGGGCTGAGGATGACCCTTCCTCATATGTGAGAGGCTCCCCCACAAACTCACCTGCTCCCAGTGAATGTCTGAAATCAATAAAACAGCTTCACCCAAGTAGTGTTTGTTTCTGATTTACATAGCAGGAGCAGGTACCTTGGGCTAGGGTGCCTAGGTACAGACCTGTTCAAAGGTCACAGGCCTTGGCACTAGCTCCTCTGCCACACAGGACTATGAGCACTCAAGGCTGCGGGCCAACACCTGTTCCTGAGAGAACTGGGGCCTGGCCGGAGACACCTCCCTCAACCACCTGAGAGCAGGAGACCCTCTCCCCCCACCAGGCTGGGGCAACCTCTGTGCCCTCCAGGCCATGCTTCAAGGTCAAGGACTAGGACTTAGACAGATTGGTCATAAGTCTGTTTAATAATGACACTCAGGTTGCTGCCTCTGTCTGGGGTGTCCTGAGCTGCTTGTGCCTTTCTCAATGAGGGTAGGAGGGGATTCTGCATGTCTGTTTTCTGCCTGTCTGGCAGTGAGCAAGTCTGGGGTGCTTTTGTCACCACACTGAACCCCATTACTTCCCCTCCTATTGCCTTTTACCTGTTCCTCTGCCTGCTCTGTGTCCCCCACCCACTCTGGTTACAGCACCCTTGGCCCTGGATCCTTGAGCTCTCCTTTCAGGGAGATGTTGCTGCACTTGCAAGCGCTGCTCCTTCCTTAGGATTACTGACTTCCCAACTTGCTGGCCTCTAAGGCTGTGGGCAAGAGGAGGTTAGTGGGTGAGGGTGGAACGAATGGCTGGGGCAGGGCCCGTAGCTGGTGGTTAATTTCTGAGAAACTGGCCAAGTGCCTGAAGCAGGCAAGCCATTAACTATGCTGAGTAATTGCAGTGCAAGGGGTGGGAAGAAGACAAGGTGAGGGGATTGTTCCTGACCTCTGGTAGCTCAGGCCTGCTCTGCAGCAGCTCTGCTGCTATTCCGGCCCATGGTGGTGAGGGCCCAGCAGGGCAACAGGAGCAGATGGGAGAGGCTGGCAGAAAGACATTAACTATGCTGAGTAATTGCAGTGCAAGGGGTGGGAAGAAGACAAGGTGAGGGGATTGTTCCTGACCTCTGGTAGCTCAGGCCTGCTCTGCAGCAGCTCTGCTGCTATTCCGGCCCATGGTGGTGAGGGCCCAGCAGGGCAACAGGAGCAGATGGGAGAGGCTGGCAGAAAGAAGTGTCCATGTGCTGCCTTCACCACTGTGCTTGTTCTGCACCACCTCAAGCTGGGTAGTGGGGCAGCATCTTCTCAGGCATTCCCCAACAGCCTCTAGGGCTGCGGTGTCCAACATGCTAGCAACTAGTGGCTATTTACCCAGTCGAATGGGCTAGTTTGCTATAGCAGAACTCAGAACTGGTTGGACACCATGGCTCTGGGGAATGACCAGTGCCTCCTGCCTATGCCTTAGCTGGCAGCAGAGGGTGTTTCTTAAACCCCAGGGCTTTGTCTCTGGCCGGAGACACCTCCCTCAACCACCAGAGAGCAGGAGACCCTCTCACCCCACCAGGCTGGGGCAACCTCTGTAAGAGGTTTTTCCGTTAAAAGTATTTGTGCAAGAGAGCGTCTACACTGGCATGTGCTTTTGCGCAAGAGATGCGCCAGTGTAGATGCTCTTGCACAAGAAAGCTCCAATGGCCATTTTAGCCATTGGGCTTTCTTGTGCAAGAAATTCATGTTGCCTGTTTACACTGGCCTCTTGTGCAAGAGGGCTTATTCCTGAGCAGGAGCATCATAGTTCTTGTGCAAGCAGCACTGATTTCTTACATTAGAACATCCGTGTTCTTGTGCAAGAACTCATGGCCAGTGTAGGCAGGTGGCAAGTTTTTGCACAGAAGCGGCCACTTTTGCGCAAAATCTTGCCAGTGTAGACAGGGCCTAGGTGTTGGGAGTGCTAGTTGAGATGCTTGAGAACTGAGTTCATGGCTGCAGCAGCAGGGTGGGTGAGCTAATAGTTCCTTTAGCTGCCATGAGAGGTATGAAAGAGCCACATGTTCTTACTGATGAGCAGCTGCCAGGCCTCCTGCTGCTGCCATCCTATGCTGAAGACCTGGCACTTAGAGCAAAGGGCTTAGAGGCTGCCATGAGCACTGTGCTCTGATCTCTGGCATTGCTGAGCAGCTCGTGGAAGCACACTAATGGACCATGCTGCTGATAAGCCTCACAGCCAGACTGAGGCAGGTTTCTGTTTCCAAGCCCTGTCCCTCGAAGGACTGCAGGCCTGAGCAGTGGGGAGTTTGTACACAGGGCAGGGAAGTCAACGGTACCAACAAAGCTGTACTGCAGCTGGGTTCCCCTTACCTGCCTGCTAAAGGCTAAGCCACAGAACCACTTACAGACATGGAGGTGACTGGCTGTAGCTGGCTCTGGCTGTGGCTCTGCCCTTGCTCCTCACTAATTGCCCTTAGTCAGTGAGCTGGATGCCTGGAGAAGCTGCTATTCAAAAGCAAGAAATAAAATTAGTGCTCCTGGCTTATCCTTTTGGCAACGTGTAGAAGATCAGCCTGAGGGGGAGAGCAAGAAAGGGGGCACTGCTGTCAGGATGTTCCCCATCCCCCAACTCCTGAACCCATCACCACACACGGAGAACACATGACAGGGTAGGGGGAGAGCAAGAAAGGGGGCACTGCAGTCAGGATGTTCTCCTGAACCCATCACCACACATGGAGAACACATGACAGAGCTTGGGATGAAGGGAGCATGTTGGCAGGAGCACCTGTGGCTGAACATGCTCAGCGTACTTAACAGAGCCATGTGAATTTCTGTCCCTGAGCCCTCCTGTGCCCAAACTCTCTCCCAGAGCCTGCGCTCCAGCCTGGGGGAACGGCATGAACAGGGGTGGGCCTTGGAGAAGAGGCAGGCACAGGTATGTGTTTGAGAGAGCTGCTGGATTACACTGAAATTCAAAGTGATTTTTGTGCTTTGGAGATCACTGGCCTACAGGATTTTGCCTGTGACACCATTTCCTTGCAGCTTTCCCCGCAAAGCCGAGGAGCTGGTTTACGTACCAGGCTACCTGATACATGTTAACAACACTACTGTTCTGGAAAGCACACGGGAAGATATGTCTTATCACAGCCACAGCTGCTGCAGTTTTCACTTACTAATGGTGGGCTCAGGCTTAACCTGGCAAAGCGAGCAGTGACACTGTAAATTAGGGAAGGGAGCTTAAGGGTAAAACAGGAAAATTAAATTGCCAGCTCTGAAGAGAGTAATTCTTCCACACACAATGCCAGAGTTTAAATGTGGCACTGGCCATGGTGGCTTGCAGTAGTGTCAAAAGTGTCTCCTTGTGGCTATTAAGTACATCTGGTTAGACAGCTGTGACCCTTTTGCTCCTGTTTAGCTCTTGCCCCTGTATTAAATAGCACCATGGCTGCTGCTTTCTTTATGTTCAAAGAGAAATATTTTGTACCTCATGGATATTTCTTCAAATGAAGATCAGCTTTCCTTACCCTGCACAAGCCAGCATCAGTCACAAAATGAAGCAGGCTTGAATCACAGGGCCTGGCAGCAGAGAGCTTTTGGCTTCTGCCAGGGGGCAGGTGCTTGTTCCCTCTCCTTAGTGCCACTGCAGTAGATGCAACTGGATCCTTTAGTAGGAAAGGACAGTTCATGCTCATAGCTGTGACATTGGCCAGAGCCCTACCCAGCATGGCCCCAATTCAAAGACAATGTTCTGAGGGCTGAGGCTTCTCCCTTAGGCAATGATGTCACACCATGGCAGCCTATTGTGCCTGAGATTCAGCTTCCAGTTTTAATTTCCTCGCTTTAGCCTTCATTCTACCTTCCTCTGTAAAACTAAACATCCCTCTAGCTGCTCAGTGAGAACACCCGGCAAAGAGCAAATTAAATGACACCACCTAGCTAGAGAGTCACTTCTCAGTCTTTCGACCAAACCAGTAACTCCAGCTCCCTCGTTACTTTTGACAGTCTGCTAGTATTGAGATGCCAGAGTGAAGTTTTTACCTGAGTGGTCCCAGTGCCTGCACTTGAAGCCTAAAATGGCACTGCAATGGAATCCCTCACAAGTTCCTGTCTATCTGGGATTTGACTGAGCAGTTCTGGACCCCTAACAGACCATCATGGAACCAAACTAAGCACCTGTGTTTCTCAATCCCATAGCAGAGACAACCAGCAAAGGTTGTCAAACCCACCACAGCCACAAATATAGTGAAGGTAACGCCCATAGCATGAGGACGCACGTGCTGATGCTGTTATAGACATGCAAATAGAACTGCACGCTTGACCCCACAATCAGAAAAGCCCCCATACATGGGGAGTGAGGGAGCCACCAGAGGCAGCCATGCCAGGCTATCCCTCCCTCCCCCAGCTACCTGTGCCCTCAGACAAAAACAGGCTTGGAGAGTTAATGAATTTATTCCCTTGAGAAAAAGGCCATGAGAGGGAGCTGGTGCAGAGAACGTAGTGAGAAAAATCTTGCCTCAACTTCCATCATTACCCCGGTGACACAGGCCCCATGGAGGAGAATCTCATGCTGAGCCTTTCACCAGGGTATATCTGTTCTTCCTATAGTGCATTCAGCTAATTTCTTGCACCAAGTCAGGGACATACATTCAAAACCCTGCACCAGCAAATACACACTCCTGCTCCCCTCCCCCATCCCACTACACCCCACCTTTAGCTCATTTCCCTGGTTCATGTCTTTAAAACCCATTGTGTTAAATACTTTAATTACAAATTGTGTTGAGGATGAGAGTAATAGACCCTGCAGGGACTTCAAGTGGCCCTCACTCCCAGATACACGTGCACGCTCTGTACTAAGAATATGTCCCCACCCACCAGCAGCCTGGGGCAAGGGTGCATGGGCACTTTGCCCAGCTGTTTCACAGCAGGGGGTGGGGCAGGGCAAGCCCTGCTAAACAGGAGTTGCTGCAGCTGCAGGGAGGTGTTTCTTATCTTAAATGCTAGCAGGTACTGGCCTAAGGCCTGGGTTGGCCTCAGGCCCAGCAGGGAATGGAGCTGCCTCCCTTCATGTGAGTTGCTGTCTCATCTCTGTCAAACATCAGACATTCACACCATGTGGACCAGGCCAGAGAAAATTAACAAAACCTTAACACAAGAGGATGGAAGAGGTTACTTCTGCCTTCCTGCCTGGGAAGGGAGGGAACCAGGTGCCAGAATCCTAATAGATGCATCTCAGCTGTTAATTTGAGGAGCAGTGGAGGCAGACAAACCTTGCAGTGTCCATGCCCCTGAGATTACAAGTAAAGGAAGGAATGCAGGGGTGCGAGAAGACACTGCTACGAAGTCACCCCAGGCATCCCTGACTGGCTTTGCAGGGAAGTAAGAAGGAGGCAGGAACACACAAGAACCTTTCCCTCCCTCCCAGTGCTGGAAGGGAATCTGAACTGGCACAGGAGCCACAGGGGAAGGTGGCCTAGCACAGCAGCAGGCAGCTTCTGCTGGAGGTGAGGCACGCTCAGGGAAGGCGGGAAAGGTAAGAAAGAGGCTACATAGGTGGTTCTGGAAACCCAGGCCATTGTACAAGAGCCCCAGGAAGACACTGAACCATCCTTCAAGAGAACAAGAAGAGAGGTAGGAGCTAGCTCCAGGGTTCCCTCCAAAACACCTCCTACCACAGGGGAGGAGGAGGAGACTGGAATGAACTCCTGCTGATTCCTGAATGTCTTCTCTTGCCCCTGCTGGTGCTGCGTCCCTGCCCTGGTTGGGTTGTATGGGGTTGTGGCTGTGCTCTAGAGGTCCAGCAGCAGCACACGAGGATCCTCCACTGCAGCCTTGATCTTGCGCAGGAAAGTCACTGCCTCTCTGCCATCAATCAGCCGGTGGTCGTATGTCAGTGCCACATACATCATGGGCCGCACTTCAACCTGAGGAGAAATGGAGCATGTCAGCTGTACCAGCATCCATCCCACTGGAGAAAGACCCAGTTGTTCCTACCCTACATGATAGGGAGGGAGCGTAGCAAGATCACCTGCTCAGGAAAGCATGTGCTTCTCCAAGTCAGAAGAGACACCAGCAGGCTGCCAAGGCTCAGCTCCTCGCCTTCCTTCAGTCGCGCACTAAGCACAGGCTCTGGGTGTGGTTGTGCCAGGTGCCAGGGCATGCTAATGTCTAACATGGAGACTGCAGGCACCGTCTCCCAACAGCATTAAGGGGATCCAGGAAATCCCTTTGCCAGCCACTGTGTTTTTTATTGTTCCCCATTGCCCCAGCGTGGAGGAAGGAGGGCTTGTCTGTTCCTCAACACCACAGACTGGCACTGTCGCCAGCAGTGACTGCTTGGAACCCTTTGCAGGTTCCACTGCGCCCTTCCCAGTAAGTAACTTTGCAACAGGAAAGCATTTTAGGAGGGCTCCCGCCACCTCCTCTGGCCCTGGTCATAGCTGTGTCCTCTCTGCTGCTGAACTCCTCCCCTCTGCCCATTTAATTACCCTGAATACAGGCCTTTGCAGCTGCACCTACTTTGCCTCCGATAGCAACAGGTCTGTCAAAGATGCCATGCATGCCCAGTATGGCAGATTGGGGAGGGTTGATGATGGGCGTTCCAAAGAGGGACCCGAAGACCCCTCCATTGCTGATTGTGAAGGTGCCACCATCCATGTCCTCAATGGCCAGCTCATTCTTTCGGGCCTGAAACAAGAAGAACAGGATCTCAGAAAGCTGCTCAGAGTGAAGGCATCCAAGGAAGCAAAGAGACGGAGACAGGAGGTACTTGCTCCTCACTCACTACATTCGTAGGGTGTAGCTTCTTCTGAAACCTTTCCACAAGCAATAGGAAAAGGAAAGAACTTCACCTGCCAATTCTGATTTGCTAGTGTAGATAAGGTTACTTTAAAATATGGGCTTTGTCCCTTTAGGGTTTAGCAAGATGCTGACACCTCCTCAGCCAGCAAAAAGAATCACGAGTGGAGACGAGGGGAGAATGCAGACAAGAGAGGCAGTGACAAGTTCTTATGTCAGTGATAGAGTAGACACTAGTGCATGGAGGCAGCACTGAACTGTACTGGAACCTTTGATATGATCCCAGGTTTGAAGAGCTACATGTCTCAGATACTAAGGGGTCCATCTGCAGCTGAAACAGGGCCATGGTGAGACTGACCACAAGGGACTGACAGTCACTTATGAGCAGGTTATTTTCTTCTTCCTCTAACAGGACCATTTACAAGGTTTGACAGGGTTCTCTTGCCTTGATTTTCAATAAAAACTTGTTATTTAGGGAATTACCTGCCTCTGAAGAGGTAAACAAGCCTCGGCCTTAAGGAGAGAAAATGGGAGCACAGAGTCAACTGGAGCCCAAGTTTGCTTGGGAGTTTCAGTTAAAAGGAAAAGATTTAGAAGGGTCTGTCCCCTAAGGAGAGATCACCATCTGGGCTAGTAGAAAATGCCTAGAGACAAGCAGCAAGTCAGAAGGGCCAAAGGTGAACACTTGTGCACTGCCAGCCACCCCTGCCAGAAATTAATGCTGCTTCTGCCACAGATCAAGGTGGCTGCTCATTGCTTCCCTTTTGTGCCGCTTTCAGAAAGCCCTGGCCAGTACACCCCACCCTGGCCCACCTCCAGCTCCTGTTACCTTTTCCCCTAGCTCATTGATGGTTCGCTCAATATCAGCAAAGTTCATAGTTTCTACATTCCTGATGACAGGGACCACGAGACCCTGTGAGGGAGCAAAGAATCCAGTCAGTCACACGTAGCAGCAAACAGAGGCATCTGAGAACAAAGCCAAGGGGAACCTAGTCTCAGACAAAGGAGGTTACACCTTAAGTACACTTAACCTCTTCCCCTTCTGACCAGGTAAGCTGGGAACATGAAGAGCAGAGCACACCATTTACTCTCAGTGCTATTTGCACTGCTCTGTGGGGTTGAAGGTTAGTCTCTATACATGAAGCCAAGACACACCACTTCCCCGACTCCTGATGTACCTACATTAGTGAGGCCAAGATGGGAGCGGAGATCTTGATAATGTGAACTTTCCCCAATAGCCCACAAAGCTATGGAAGCCTTGTCCCTTGCCAGCAGGGTCAGCAGCTAGCAGTTCTCTTGCTGCAGGACTAGATAGTGTTGGACACATAATCTGGGGCATCCGAGTTTCATGTGAGCAGCTTTTGCCACCTTTGAGTCCCATGGCTCAGTTTGCTCAGCTGTCACCCCTGCAGAACCTGGGCTGCGGTCTAGGCCGGTAAAAAGCCCACAGGGCATACCCTGGGAGTCGCCACTGCAACGCTGATATCCACATAGTCCCTGTACACCATCTCTTTGGTTGTGTCATCAATCACTAGGGAGAGAGAGGAAAACAGTTACACAGAGAAAGCCCAAGAGTCAGGGCTCTGCAGTCATGAAGGGTCAGAAGTAATCAATGACCAGCAACAACTTGCTCATCTCTAACTTCCATGCTTTTAATTGTAGTACCAGGGAGGGTTAAGTCCTACTGCCTCTTTGGGGGGGGAGCACCGGCCCAGAAAGATAGATGGCTGGAGAGAGGGGGCGTTGGCTAGGATAGCTCTCTCTCCTGGGACAACCACACCTCCCCCAAGTGTCACTCTCTCTTCATAGGCACAACAATCCCCCAGGAGACAGCTCTTCAGGGACAGCCTTCCCAGTACAATAGCCATTCCAGTGAAATCTAGTAGAATGTGTTTTTATGAGCAGTGCTGGGCTGGGATGCACCTTAATATACATGGTCCCCAGTCGATCAGAGCCCTGAAAGCTCTTGCTGGGTTCACTGTGAAAGTGCCTTCCCAGCATAATGGCTCTTACCTACATGAGTGAAACCAGCTAAGTTCATTGTAGTCCATCAGTATTGACAGACTTGTCCTCTTCCCCACCTTTCACGTGGGGGGATGTGGCTCTTCAGCACCTTTAGTTCCCTACAGGCTTGGCCACACGTTTCAGGACGCCCCGGCTGTGTCTACACTGGCATGAATTTCCGGAAATGCTTCAAACGGAATACTATTCCGTTTTCAGTTTTTCCGGAAAAGGAGCATCTACAGTGGCAGGCTGCTTTTCCGGAAAAGCCCTTTTTCCGGAAAAGCGTCTGCGGCCAATGCAGACGCGCTTTTCTGGAAAAGAGCCCCGATCGCCATTTTCGTGATTGGGGCTTTTTTCCGGAAAAGACTACTGGGCTGTCTACACTGGCCCTTTTCCGGAACAGTGTTCCGGAATAAGGACTTATGCCCGAGCGGGAGCAGAATAGTTTTTCCGGAATAGCGGCTGATTTTGTACAGTTCAACGACGTTGCTTTTCCGGAAATTCAAGGGCCAGTGTAGACAGCTCGCAGCTTATTCCGGAAAAGCGGCTGATTTTCCGGAATAAGGGGCCCAGTGTAGACACAGCCCCCTTGTCTCTGTGCATTAGTAGCAGAGGCTAGCATGCTCACCTGCATTCACAATGGGCTGTTCCTGCAAGGCAAAGGCAACAGCTTTTACAAAGGCTGACATAAAGCCCAGTTTCAGGTTGTGCTTCTTCTGGAAAGATTCTCTGTGTCGGGCTCTCATCTCCTGGATGTTACTGCAAACACCAATAGACAACCATTACTGCCAGGAATGGAGGGGAACAGAGATCACTCACTTCTTCTATGACAGATTTCCTGTGCTTACAAACCTTCACTAACAAATGTTCTATCTCAAACCTGCAACAATTCTGCCCCCAGCTTCACAGACAGGGCAGCTTTTAATTTGTTTCAAGATAGTTGCCAGGGAAGCTGCTTTAAGAATCAGCCCAGAGCCACAAATCCAATCAAACCAAGCTCTGCTGCAGTCGCAAGGATGCCCTGCCAGGCAGGAATGTGCTGTGCCCAGATGCGTCAGAGCTCCAGGGCTGGTGTTATGGACAGTGGAGTCTTTGGTGTGTCAACCACTATCCAGTGTCTGGTGCTTTGGGGAGCAGTTACAGATGAAATGTGTGCAGTCTCCAGGGGCTGCCTTGCAAGCACTGTGGGGTAGGAGACCAGATAACACAGGGTGCCAAGAGCAAAAGGAAAGAGAAGACTCATCAGCACAGCAGAAAAAAGGAGCTTCAGTTTGGCTTCTGGGCCCTAACTCACATGCTTGTGCTCCAAGAACTGGCCTTCTTCCTCGGTGCTGACAGGCTGCAGGCACATGAGGTTTTGATCCACTGGTGGGAGGCCTCTCCAAAACACTACAGAGAGGGCCTGAGCACAGAGTCTGCTCTGTCCATCCTGGATCAAGGTATAGGAAATAGCTATTCCCCTCATTCCCATTCACTGGAATAGAGACCAGTTACAGAAAATGAACTGAGCTGCATAGACTCATCTCTGTCCATTGTGAGATAAGACCTAATACTTTGGAATTGTACCCTCTGCCCTGCCCCCTTCTCAGACCATGTGTCTTTGAAGAAACAGTTTTAGCAGGAGGTGGGATGAGGTCTCAATGGGATTAAAATGTTTGTTTTCCTGCACCTAACCTTGTTTAGTGCTAGGGTTACTGCCCAAAGACATTAGCGCTTCCCAAGACGCAAGGGCTGCAGAAGCGAGGAGGAGGTTTGCTGAGAAACTAGCTCATTATGGCTTCCTCCTTTCAGACGCTGAGCCCCAGTGGGGAGCAGGAGGCCTCAGTGGAGGCCCTTGCAAGTCGGCAGCATGGCATACAGCTAGAAGGGCAATCAATCCAAACCACATTACTGGCTGCAACAAGAGCCCCAGGCTAGCGTAAAGCGACACCTTGATTAGCCTCAGAGAGGAGATAAAGCTGCAGCACTTCCCCTCCAATCAAGACTATTTTGCCAACCTTATCATTCTGAGCCCCAAATATTTACATGTTTTGTCTTAAGAAGCAGAGTAGGATTTCACAGGGCAATTCAATTTGGGCACAATTTCCCTTAATGCACTGAAATCTAAGCTGCCCACCCCCAAAGCCATTAGTGTGGTTAGCCCAGGCATGCACTCCCTGTGAGTCAAGAGACCCCCACCAACTCAGATCAAAGAGATGCGGAAGGGATGCTGACCAGCTTGGAAAGCTGCTCCACAAGACTGCTATACCTGACCACTGGGCAGGGCACAGCTGAAGGGATGCCCACATCTGGAGGGTGAGCTACCCGGACCTTACTTGTCATGAGGTGACTCACATTCCAGTTTCCCCATAAGGGATATTAGGAAGTAGGAGACTGCCTTCATATCGCCAGCAGCTGGAACATAAGCTGCTTCAGCTTTTTCAGCTCAGCACTACCCAGTCTTCCACCAAGAATTTTACAGGTTGCCCTCTTACTTCTGAGAAGCAGAGACCCCATGGAGTCCCAAGGACTTTTAGTGAACTACACATGTCACAGTGGGGCACCAGGATGGCTTGGAGGAAGCTGCTCAAATGAATGCAGTGAGAAACCTGACTACAGGAGCCCTGAAGTAACAAGTGTGATCAGCAAGGTCCTTGCTGCTGGTTTGGGTGCAATGGGGATCCCCACCCTGCTAGGGCCAAAGGAAGGGCATGATCCTCACCTCATATCGATCTCATTGAAGGTAGTTAGCATGGCACATGTATTCTGAGCCTCTTTCAGGCGCTGAGCAATGCGCTGACGCATCCGATTCATTTTCACCTGCAATTGAAGAGGCAGTGAGCAAGGGCAGCCATGGGGTTAATATAAAGGGGAGATGGGCAGAGGAAAACCACAGGGCCCTCAGTCTTCTTTCCTGATGATTAGCAGCCTGTGCCTTGGGCTGGGCTGTTCACATGATCTCTTTGGGCACAGTGAGATGGACACATCACCTATAGTGCAGTGGGCCCAGAGAGCTGCCTTAAGCTCACTAGAGAGGCTTCCTGGCTCAGGAAATGGTTTGATTGAAAAACAGAATCAAATCACAACACAGGCAGAATGTGGCACAGTTCTGTGCCCCTGAAACTCTGCTGAAGGAAAAAGTTCCTGGGGCAGAGCTGTGGGTGGGCTAGTGTGAGAACAGCAACCTGAAGAGAAAGCCACAGACCAGTGCTTGAGACCAGTTATTATATGGGTAGCTCATCCACATTCCCTTGAGGTTTCATACCTATGGCCATGGCAGCCGCATTGCCTGATCTCTGCTGCTCACCTTTAACTTGGGCACCACAAAACCACCAGTGCTTAGTCTTTACCTATTATAGTGACACATCACCTGAGATTCCCTCCCCCCTTTTTCCTGTTTAGAAGCCCTTACCTACAAGGGACCTACGAGCAGGCCCTGCCTTAACCTAACGCAAAACTGCCTACCTCTATGGTGCACCTGGACCAACGTATTTCCCCAGGCACTACAACTCCTAATTGATCTGTGTGTGAACATTCTCTCCACAACACACCTAGGCATGAGCATACCCAGTTTAGACAAGAGTCCTGAAGGTTTACTCCAGAGGTAGGTTTGCGCCTCTGTTATCCAGCAATGAAGGAAGGCATTTTGAGAAGCCCTGGTCCTCTGAATCTTACCCGATGTTCTGATCTGGCACCTTTGCTGGCCCCTGGCTCCACACCAGGAGCTGCCACTGGAGCTGCAGTCGGCTTCACTGCAGACACTGAGAGTAAAGAATACATACATCAAGATGGGATCTTAAAATAGGATTAGCCAGGCCCTTGCCAATAGCAACTTGATTATAAGTGCCTCCAACTTCCTTGTACAATCAACAGGATATGTAAGGAGTAAGCCTTGGCTTGTGATTATGGGAAAGGCAGGCTCCAGGCTGACTAAAGATCTCGGGCCTGATGCAGCAAAGTGGAGAAACTTCTATTTTAAATTTCAAGATTGCTTTGCTGCCCTCAAATTTATTTCCTCCCCACTCAAAGGCAGGCATTGCGAACAGAGGACTGAACAAGGCTGCAGCCTCACCAGGTTTGGTATCAATAGGCTGTGTTGACACAGGGGGCACTGGAGGCATCGTAGTGGGAATTGGCTCCGCAGGTGGAGCAACAGCAGCAGCCGCCACAGGCTCAGGTGCAGGGGCTGCAGCAGGAGGTGCCACTGCCGGTTTGGCCTTGGCAGGAGCAGCTGAAAGACAGAAACAAATAAGTGCAGTTGCAGCCTGGAATGTGAGACAGCTATGTCTTAGGGCCTCCACAAGCTCTCTCCTGCCCTCACAAGTTATTCACCCTTCCGGATTTTTGAAGTGCATTTCAGTATTACAAAAGCTAGAGGCTGCTCTCTTCAGCTCAGAAATAACTAAGTGGATCACAGGCTGAAGCTGAGGCCTCAAATATTTGTTACTGTAATGCTCAGAGGTCCCCCCACAGTGCAGAGAATTCCACGGGCTAATTATGCTTTCATCCTACTTAAATCTGCTTCTTTTAACCTGAGTGCTATTAGTTTTGTATTAAGAGACAGGAGAGACAGTAATGACGTCCATTTCTATGGGAGACTGATCCTTACCATATAAATGTATTCTCTCTCCATTTACTCTCCTTTCCACCTAGAGTCTATGCACATATCACACAGGTCCCCCACTGCTCTTCTCCATTTCCACTTTCCCATTGGAGAATCCAGGAGGAGACATCACTTCAGAGAACGGCCATGATATTGTCTGTCCTCTTCACAATGTCACTTGTATCTCAAAGTGCCACTGCATTAACGGCCATGATATTGTCTGTCCTCTTCACAATGCCACTTGTATCTCAAACTCTATCCCTCCAATGCACGAGTTTTATCACTGTGCAGGAGATGGAATACCAAAGAGAACTGGTTATGAATTCTTGGGTTGGAGAGCACTAAGGGGATTCTATTGCCTCACTTCCTTCCCCTGCCTCTCCAGGGGAAGACAAAGACATAAAAATTTGGGCTAAATACGTGTTCCTGACTTACCTCCAGTTTTCCTGAGTTTGAACAAAGGAGTCCCTCCTTCCACTTTCCCCCCATCAGGTACTAGAAGTGCTTCAATCACACCAGCAGCCGGGGATGGAACCTGCACTGATGTCTGCAGAAAGGAGAGGAGTGAAATCCTCCCAGACCATTGAAAGTGAACAGTTATCCAAACAGAAGACCCTCATCTTTAACAGGGGGTATATGAAGGGAAACATCCTGTGTTCCAGATTTCATACCAGCAAGGGAGCTAGAGCTTTGCAAAGGGACCATCTCACCTTTTATTAAAAAAAAAAAAAAAAAAAAAACACACACACAGCGCTGTGATTCTGAGTATTAGGGAAGGGGGGGGGGGAAGAGACAAAAACTCCTTTATAGCTTTAGCCACTATAGTGGCTACTGCTTCAGAACTGGTTGGACATCATGGCTTTAAAAGAAGCCAGCAGCATAACTGCTTGATCCATCTGCCTCATCACAGAGGCATAATATGAAGTGGGTCTCACGTACAGCAAGCTGCCTTCTTGACAATGAACAACACAGGAAACACGGCTCCCAAGGATTCAGGGGAAAGCAAGCACTTGAAAATAAACTAGTTTGATTAAAATTATTTTAGAAACTATTCTGAGTAATTTGAAAACCAAAGTGACATACCTACTCTAACCATTTTTCTGGACTCTGAACTTACCTACACAGCTTCTGATTTCTCCTGTTTTTAAATAGAAGATTTCCCAGGCCCTGCTATGTAACTGGAGTCCCTGATGGGAAGCATTGCTAAAACAGCAGCCCCCACTAGTGCCATCAAATGACTGGAAAGAAGAGAAACTACCAAGGATTTCACTAATTTAAGATACAATTAAGCACTTATGCTAAAGAAATGAAGATTTTAAACTGTGAAAGGCCCATGGGATATTTGTTGAACACAGACTGGGGAGAGGGAGAAGAAGGGGACCAGTATGGAACATGCCTACCTTGTCTGTTTCAATCTCACACACCACTTCATCCTCTGCCACTGTGTCTCCAACAGCTGAACAACATAAGAACTGCTGTGAGCAGGGAGCTGTGTTCTGACCTCCCCTTCCAACCCACAGCACAGTCTCCCAGTAATCCAGAATTTTCACACTAGACTTGCACGATCTTTCTTGTATGAAGCTGAAGAGATTTACAGTACATTCAGGGTCTTCCTGATCCCAGTTCAGGTACCTCTCTCCAGTCTCATCCTTCTACATCATGGCCCTTAGACAAGCAGTGATAGTGCCAAGTGTTCCTTGCCCCAATGGGAAGTGTAGTTATCACCATGCTGCCTCATCCTCCCCAGGCTGAAAGGTGTTAAGAAGCAGAACTTCAGCCAACCAGCTACAAACTGTCCCCAGGGCTGTCCCATGGAAGCATGAAAAGAATGCAGTAGCAGTGCAAAGCCAATCCGTGGAGTGCAACTTCTTACCTTTCTCCCACCTGACATCTCCTTCCGTGACTGATTCTGCAAATGCTGGTGTGTTAACTGTAATCACGTCATTCCCTGTGGAAGGAAGAGAAAGTGAGAACCTGATACCTATTCAGAACTCAAGCACCCACTCAAACACCTCTCCATTTTGGACACTGGGAATTGCCTGGAAAGGGGCAGCCCAGTGATCAGCAGATTACGTGAGGAAGAAGGCCAACACCACACTTTTTGACAGCTAGGCACTCATATAGACAGGAAGTCACAGTGCCAGAAACACCCAACACAAGAAAACCACACACTACAATAGGGCCAAAAGCACAAACCTAGCTCCCACCACTCACCCATGGAGGATAGACTGAAGCAGGCTTAGACCAAGGGTGGAAAGGTGATTTAGTTATGGCTCAGGGCCATGTGCACTCCAGTCAGAGGGGAGCAGACCAAGTAGCCCCATTGGTTCCTGGATCTTAGCTACTTACTGCACACTGCTGTGATTCTGAAGTGACGGACGGTGAAGACACTGGAGGTGTTTACTCTGCAGAAACAGAGAAAGAAATGAACACAAAATGAAAAAGCCCTGAGTGTGGTCAGCCCAGGCCTCTCATGGACAGCTAAGTGAGTCGCAAGTTTATACTGGCTTGCTCCAATTAATCCGAAGGCAACTCAGCTGCTCTGATGATGCATGCACAGGTGCTCCAACAGACATTTACCTAGTGGTTTATGCTTAGTATCCCTGCTAGACACCCAAAGAAAACTCAGCATACCTTTGAGGAGTACAGAAGTCCATGAATAACAGGTATTTACAGAATCTGATTCTAAGGAGGTACCCCAGTCATGGGTGTATTATAGAGATCAGCAGACAGAAGCCGTGGGGCTTTAGAGCCTGACAAAGAGCTGACCACACTCCAACCCCACACCTTTGGCTAGTGCAATAATGATTTGTTTGCCTCTAATTCTAGTGTCAGCACTGTAAGGGGTGCTTCAAAGCCGACGCTATTGCAGAAAGTCTGACAGCCACATTAGTCAGACATTTCTGACACTGCCCTTCAGGGGGAGCTAGGCATCCCAAGTGTTCTAGAGAGATACTGCAGAAGTATCACTTTCTTCAAGAGCTAATACATTTGGGAAGCAAGAGTGAACAGGCTCTAGCACTACTAGATGCACACCACACATGTCCCAATGTGTAATGCCGTGGGCTCCCATGGGAGGAAGGCCTGCTGTATCTGGTCTGCACTGCTGTGCACCAAGACCACCCCAGCAGAGCAGGCCTTGCCCAAACATCATTTGTTCCAGAACCATCCCACTTTTCCTCAAGGAGACTCTGCCTTGCTGTGCTTCCAATAGGTCTTTGCTGGGAGGCCACCACTAAACACCACAGTGACAGGTGCAGTAACAGTGACAACATGGACAGGTGGATACACGAATCATCCCCTTCCCTTTACTATTGACCTCTTCATTCCTGTCTCTTCCATGTATCCATATTCAGATCAAACCAGCACATATTTTGTTAAGAGTCTCAATTCCTGGCCCATAAAAGCCAGAGCACATGAATTTCCTGAGTCTCGTGCTGAGCCCCTATGATGTGCAGAGGGATTTATGACAATTAGAGCAGACACTTCACCAGATACCAAGGCTAGGGCAGCCTTTCCCCTTGACATGCTGCAGCAGGCCTTAGCTTTTCCATGGATACTTACACAAGCTTGCTGCTGTTGGTGTAAGCCAGCCTCTGGCTCCGAGATACACCTGCAAAGCAGAAACCACTTCAACTGAAAACTTATCCTATAGGCAGCTACCCAGCCATACACCCACCACAAAGGCGAGGGTTTATAAGAAGAAACTCAAAGACACCCTTCTGAGCAAGCTCAGTGTAATCTATTCAGTGTTAAAAGAGCCTAAGGGATACCCTGTGACACTGCTGCCCATCCTGATTGAATGTGGGGTTGCAGCTGGGATGGTATTAGCAGCAAGGAACTCCAAAGAAGGAAAAGACAAGAGCCCCTCAACTCCCAATAGGCACCCACAGGAGAGCCTATTGCCCTGTTATAAGCACAAACGGGAAATCTCCTATAAAGAAAACTGCTTTCTGAAAAAGCACTGGAGAGGAAGGATGTTCTCCAGCATTTCTTAAACTTTGTAAGCTCCACCATGCTCATACATTCTCTGGTTTCAGGCTGGAGACTAGGAAACTGTAATCATATACTGCAATCCTGACCTTTGCCTTTCCTGTGGCACAGGGTAATTACGATTCTGTCCTAATCTTAGATTAAGGACACTTGGCATAGGAATCTGAGAAGATACTGATTTCCTCAGAGCTATGCAAGGTCAGACAGGAGAGATCATTTCACTGGAAAATGACTGAGGTGGTAAACTGCAACTCTGACATGCTGTTCCCTGCTAAAATACATATTCTCTTTAAAGATCAAAAGCTTTGAGATTATGACTATACACACTGAGTAGCTGTAACTGATGGTCAAAGCAGACCTGGAAAAATGAAAGGGTGGACATGGAGTGTGCTGTCCAGAGCAAGAGCACTTTGGGATCCAGTTCAGGCCTATAGGAAAAGCTCTGATGGATTCTTTCAGACCAGATGACTTTAAAATCAGTGCTCTTATCTCCAATTAGCTTATTTACGAGTTACGTTAAATCTCTCTGTTGCCTTTGGGAATCTTCAGCTTAGCTAAATGGACCAGTTATCATTTATATTAGCTCATCAGACACCAGTGGAAAGATACAACTTGTTTCTCTTCTGATTTAATTTGTGACTGTTTGTCTTTATGATGATTTTTGAGAATATATTTGACTCTGATAGCGCTGGTTTATTTCTATCATCAACTCTAGTTAGTTTTCTTCCCTTTGCCTATGCCGTTATAAAAGGAAATAAAATACAAGTTGTACCTCAAACATAAGACTCACCGGATAGAGAGCGTCTTCCCAGAGTACAGTTCCCCTATCAGACAGAAGAGAGAGACTATCAGACTTGCAAACAACAGAAAGAACCAGTTTCTGAGGGGACAGTGCTTTCACCAAGAGCCCAGGCTATAGTCGGAACCCATTAAATGGGAGACAGTTCACATGTTACTGCACTGTAGCACACACTAGTCTATAAGAATCTTCGACATAGTCTTCCCCCCTCCCCTTGCTTTTACCACTCTGACACTCCTTTCAACAGAAAAGGGTCTGGAAAGCAAGAAATTAAACTCAAATTCCCTGGCTTCCACATGCATTGCCTGTCCTTAAAAAGGGATGCCTGCAGGCAGTGAATAAGAAACAGGTTCCTGAAAGCCCCATGCACCTCAGATTTACCATTGCACAATAAGTGAACTTGTAGGAAGTAGGAGCTCCAAACTGCTGACTCCCACAGCCTTAACAGCTCCAGCTTTTGGTGTCTATTTTTAAATGTTTAGTTAAGGGGACTTTGGTGAAATCCTGGCTCATGGAAGTCAAAGGCAAAAATGCTCAATGACTTCAGTGGTGCCAGGATCTCCCATTTAATTTTCAGGAAGTCATAAAAAAAATGTTCCTCTTTCAATCTTATTTTAAAAACAAAAAACAAGGAGTTGAGGGGGAGAGGTAGATATGCTGGTGGGTAGGGTTAAGGTCCAGAGTGACCTAGATAAATTGGAGAACTGTGTCAAAAAAAAAAAAAATCTCATGAGCAGGGCTCACCAGCTACGTGGTTCTGCGCTCTGCGCATGCGCAGATTGTTCTGTGCATGCGCAGATCACTCTGCACTGGCTCTTCCAGGGTGTAATCTACTTGCCACGGGCGAGTAGATTACATTGTTTGTCGAGCCCTGCTAATGAGGCTCAAAAAGGACAAGTGCAGAGTCCTATATTTAGGATGGAAGAATCCCAAGCAGTACTACAGGCTGGGGACCAACTGGCTAGGCAGCAGTTGTGCAGAAAAGGACTTTGGGATTACAGCAGATGAGAAACTGAATGAGTCATGGTGTGACCTTGTTGCCAAGAAGGCTAATGACATACTGGGCTACATTTGTAGGAGCATTGCCAGCAGATCTAGGGAAGTGATTATTCCCCTCTATTCAGCACTGGTAAGGTCACAACCGGAATACCGAGACCAGTTTTGTGCCCCCCACTACAGAAAGGATGTGGGCAAATTGGAGCAAGTCCAGCAGAGGGCAACAAAAAAGATTAGTGGGCTGGGCACACGACTTATGAGGAGAGGCTGAAGGAACTGAGCTTATTTAGTCTGCAGAAGAGAAGAGTGAGCGGAGATTTGATAGCAGCCTTCAACTGCCTGAAGGGGGTGGTCCAAAGAGGATGGAGAGAGGGTGTTCTCAGTGAGGACAGAACAAGAAGCAATGGTCTCAAGTTGCCATGGGGGAGGTCTAGGTTGGATATTAGGAAAATATATTTCACTAGGAGAGTGCTGAAGCACTGGAATGAGTTGCCTAGGGAAGGGGTAGAATCACCATTCTAAGAGAGTTTTAAAGCAAGGCTTGGCAAAACACTGACTGGAATGATTTAGATAGGGTTGATCCTGTGTTGAGCAGGGGATTGGACTAGATGCCTCCTGAGCTCCCTCTCAATCCTATTCTTCTATGATTCTATGAAGTTTCAAGGTGCAGCTACACGAGATCCCTGCCCTACTAAGTATTGTCACTCATTTAGATTAGGGTTGTTAAAACACATTTATTTTTAAAATGAGTAAGTGCTGTCATTTTCAACGGTTACACGTTTACACATTGAGGAGCAGGTACTTGTGGAGAGCTGACTTAAAAGTCTCCTGCCTCGCTCCCCACTGCTTTTGATACAGAGGCAGAGGGTGTATGTGCATGTAATCATGGGGGTTAACCAATGAGACCAGGCTTATTGGTTAACTGTACACAAGTACATGTTAGCATCTTCCAACCTCGAACATCCAAAAATGCCTACAAATTATATACCAGGATCACTTCAACCACCATTGAAATGAAGTGTCCCTCTAGGGTGGGACACAAAAATAATTATTTCTCATTAGTCAAGGCAGGAAATGAAAGAATCCTATTTCTGTTAAATCTCAACTTTGTGTATCCCATATACATGTCTGAAAATTCCTATAGATCAGATAAAACAAACTGCCCGAATTGATGAGATGTTATAGATACATCAGAGGCCGCAGGAATTAGATGGGAATATAAAGGGAACTTTTTATATTGTGAAAACTGGACAAATGTAATACAACAAGGAAACTTACTCTGGAGTTTTGGTGACTGGAGCTCTGAGACTTTCACAATTTAGTCACAAGTACTCTCATTAGGGATGTGAATGTTTAACTGGTAAGGGCTGGAACAGCCTCCTGCCCACTGTAGAGCTGCTCCAATCCATGGGATTGAGCAGCCCCTCTTCCACCACTTGCCCTATTTAATTGGTTAACTGGTAAAACATATTGTTAACTAATTAAATGGGATTTTACATCCCTAATTCCCATCTGGATTTACAGCCTCATGTTACACAGTTTCTTAAACATATTTATATAAAATATCTAATATACTAAGCAAAGCGAGCTACCTTCATCCCACAGATGTTTCCCTTGGGGTAATTTGCGGAAGGGTTAATCCAAGCATCCCCATCAGCATCTTTGTGGAGGAAGAAGTTCTGTTGTCTCAGATTCTGTAGGAGCAACAGACTCCTGTGTGTGCCTGGAGAGACCCTGCACTGCTAGGATCCAGATCACTATAAGCATAGACTTTAGGAAGCCCATGCTACAATGGGTGGCTGTGCAAAACAAAATCCACAGATGGTACTTTCCACGTGAGCTGTGGTTTTCTGTGTTTTAAGAACTGCTATTGTGACCAGGGAAATTCTAAAATGCTCTAACATAACTGGGCCCCCTTATCCTAAAGAACTGAAATCTTATGTATGAGCCTAGGCAGAGGGCCTACCAGTGAAGGGAATAACACAAGAATGCCTATTTTGGGTCAGACCAATGGTCCATCTAGCCCAGAATTCTGTCTTTAAACAATGACCAATCCCAGGTGCTTCAAAGGGAAAGAACACAGCAGGCAATCCTCAAATGATCCATCCCATCATCCAGTCTCAGTTTCTGGAAGTCATAGGCTACCCAGTACCATTTTCACAAAAATCCCCTGGCAACAAGTTCCACAGGTTGATTATGTGTTGTGTGAGGCCAGAGGTGAGAAGCCATTCTGATTAAGGATGTAAAATCCCTTTTAATCAGTTATCGGTTAAACGTTATGTGTAACCCGGTTAATGACTTAAACGGGAGTGGCCCTCTTGCCTGTGGTATGGCAGGGGCTGCTCTGATCAGGCCAGGTCCACCAGTTAACTGTAACCAGTAAGCATCCCCTGGCAAGGGTGATGCTAACTAGTCAGAGTTTACCGGTTAATCATCCACATCTCTAATCCTGATTCAAGACGCTGAAAGTCTCTATGCACGGCACTGTGTTACTTAGGGCTTTCTTGCTTCTGCTCCTCAGGGGTGGTGTTCCAGAGCATACAGCCACATGTTTGGCAGGGGAGTCATTAGCAGGAAACATCCCATTTCCAGAATAAATCTGCTGGGATTGCATCTAATCTCAAGGACACTAAGACGCTTGGCATTAATGTCTGAACAAACAACTAATATTGTCATACCTTTCACAGGAAAGTAGGAGCCTGAACAGGAAGCAAAATCTATAGATCTGGCAAACTGACTGTAGCACTACGAATCTCTTAACTTACACTTCCCCAGAGCCACCATTCAACGTGCTGGAACCAGTCTATCACCAAAGGCATCCCCTATATATTTAACCATCTCCATACTATCTTTTAGGGAAATGCCACTCATGACATTTGAAAAGTCCCCCTATGGAATACGGAAGATGACTGTAGGCATGCTGTGTGTCCTCAGTCCTATACTGGAAACAAGAGCCAGTTCAGATAAGAGCATTGAGAGAATAGAAAACGTGCTGGAACCAGTCTATCACCAAAGGCATCCCCTATATATTTAACCATCTCCATACTATCTTTTAGGGAAATGCCACTCATGACATTTGAAAAGTCCCCCTATGGAATACGGAAGATGACTGTAGGCATGCTGTGTGTCCTCAGTCCTATACTGGAAACAAGAGCCAGTTCAGATAAGAGCATTGAGAGAATAGAATCACGCTGGGAAAAGCCAGTTTCATGGCTCCAAGCACAACTTCCAATAGACAAAGGGCTGGAAAGCTTTGGAAGTGGCATGACAGACCAATCACTCTGTGGCAAAGACTTCTGCACACACATAGGAAATAGTGGAAGAACTGCTTATAGCAGAGAGGGCTGCTGCATTGACAGAGAGGGCTGCCAGTGTAACCCATTGCTGGAAACAAGAGAACCAAGTATTTCAAATTACTCATTGATTTCAACAATTAGTAATTATACACATCAGGTAGATAGAGAAGGAGACAGGTGCTAAGATGCAATGCAGACGGTAATGCTGAGCAGACAGAAGATATCGTTACCAAACTGGCAGCCTGACCTGTTCTCGAATTCCCTGCCAATCTCCCCACTAACTTTTATGATCCTTTCTTTCCTAAATATATCCCAAAGGTCTCATTCACTGTGAATTCTGCTGTTTTCA